ATCGATACAGTATCGAGAAATGAAATATCGCGATATTTCAGTGTATCGATATTTTCTTACACCCCTAATTTCTAATAAAATCAGTGGTTATGTATCTTACAACAATAATAGCATATATCTAAGTTGATGATGAAATGTTGCATCATTTGCWTACTTTATGCTTAAACTGCCGTTCTTATTGATTATTCTCAGATGCCCATTTAATAATTTTTTTACAAATGTACCTTTTTCTTACATATTTCATCATATACAGTTGTGTTTTTTATCATTTTATTTTCTGCACTGTTTTTGTACAGCGTTAACTTTTTCAAGTCATGTGAGTCCTGAGAACTGGTTCTCAGACATTTCACCTGGTAAAATAAAGTTAAAATAAAATAGCAAATTATACTCTTTTAACTTAGGAGGCTGATAACCACCAGACTGTGGGCAAGACAGCAAAAATAACTGGAACTAGGAGGTGGTGAGCCTTTGAATGGTTGAAGTGCAGGTGGAGATGTCTTCATGATCTGCAGAATGCCAGGATTGAYGCTGCAGCTGCTTTCTGCATAATTTGTGCATTGGTGCATCAGAAATATGCCAGGAATACCTACATACATGGCTGCCCAAGGCAGAGAGATTAAAACATAAAGAATGTCTTTTTGTGCAGGAGACCCTGSTTCTTTTCCCATCTGATGTAATTGTGAATTTAATTTTTTGCGATCACTGTAAGAAACTCCTTGGTGGTAAAAATTAATTTAGATTTTTGATTTGTGGCTAAAATGAATAAAATGATTCTTATAATGCTGTATAAATAAAGTAATAGTATGTGTTAGAGTGCTGTTATTCCGCGTGAGAATATTTGTGTATTATTAAATAAGATTTCTATTTAATTTTCGTTGTTTCCTCTACCATAAGAACTTCAAGCTAAACTTTAACATACAAACATGTTAACAACAGTTTAAAAAATAGCCTGAAAATGGGTGCTTCATTTCATCTCTAAACATGACACCTAAAAATTTGTGTACATGTGCAAAAATTAAATTTCACTTACGAATYAAGATTTACTAGGCAACTTATGGCCTCCAAACTTATTGGGCGTACTTCAGTTGTGCCGGCRTCTCCTTGTGCTGCTATTGCAGGAACTCCCATCATCTTGTTGTCCACCCTCATGCTTTTAGAGACAGTGGCAGTAGAGGTCATTTGTCTCTCTTCTGAGTCTGTTGTTTGGCTGGGTGCTGCTCACTGCACACATATTATCATATTATCTCAACCACAGAAAACAGAAAAAAAACAGGTAAAACTTATTAATTTTTTTTTTACTTTTTTGCCATTTATTTGGTTACTATTACWGTTGTTACTATTACTATCTTACCTGCTGTGGTGTACAGCTCAATGAGTTCTACCACTGTAGTTGTGGTTTCACTGATACCGCCTCAGATGATGAGTTCCCCAGTGCTCTGATACGAAGGGTTAGGAAAATGTCTTTGGTGGGTTGACAAACATGTTCATGTCTACACTATCAGTCAAAAGTTGTAGAACTTTGTAGAAAGTTGAAGGTCCTAAACCCAGACCCAAACCTGTTGTCATTCTGTAAGTAGCGGGAGTTTCAGAGAAACTGAGACGTTTATTCTCTAAACATGTCGTCCCAGTGGCTTTCAAACCCCAAAACACATTACAACAAAGATTAGTTCACCCCAAAGATCCAGTTCCCCGACAAAAACAGAGCAATATAGTATATGCTGTTAAGTATCAGCAGGACTGTGATCAATCATACATTGGGGAAACAAAACAGCCACTGTTCAAAAGAATGAGCCAGCACAGACGAGCTACGTCGTCGGGTCAGGACTCTGCAGTTTACACTCATCTACAAGTCAGTACCCTGCAGTTTACACTCATCTACAGGCCAGCAGTCACTCTTTCAGGGATGAAGATGTTCTCATCCTTGATAGAGAGGAACGTTGGTTTGAGAGAGGAGTAAAGGAAGCCATCTTTGTGAAGAAAAACCGTCCACCGTTAAACAGAGGTGGAGGCCTTCGTGACCATTTGTCTTCCGCCTACAACGCTGTCATTGCAAGTATGACTCAGCCCCCTGTGAGCAAAAAGGTGTGAATCAGGGCCCCAATGATACCAACACAAAGAGGGAGGGAGGGACAAAAACAAGGGGACGTTGAACCCCCGCTTGCATTCACTACATTCACATAACATGACACGGGTCAGTTGATGGGGCACTTGACCCTCTATGAACAATGGAGCCAATCAAGCCTATTGTTAGTCAATGGCCCTATTTTGCATTTGACTGATCTGTTTGTCCAGGTGGAGGCAGGGTTTATAAGGCWGAGTTTCAACTGAAACTCTTCAGACTGAGGAAGTCTCTTGGAGGAGAGAAGAAACGTTTCACTAAAGAACAACCTATCCAGAGGACCTAATTATTTCTTGTTTTTGATTGTAGAACACCTGTTTTTGAGTGCGTTGTGATGGTGAAGGAAACTGGACTCACTGACAAAAAGGTTAACCAAAACAGTTCTGTGTAACCTTACATGTTTTTAAAGCTCTGGCAGGTCAGCACTTACCTTTGTACCCTTTCAAACTGTTCAATGGACTTGAGCTGCTTGAATGTCCAATTTAAAAAATGGAAAAATGAGGGTGTTCTAAAACCTTTGACCGGTAGTGTAAGGCATAAGATTTTTTGTTTGTCATTATGTTTCTAGAACATAACAAAATTGTCATGTTGCCCTCATTGAATAAATATATAAATACAGTAATAAAGTTTATATATGTTGTGATCTCATTTTGACCTCAAGGTGCAGCAAATGGATGTGAGTATGACTGCRGGGGGGTAGAGGGGATGGAAGGTGGACAGATGGATTTAACAGCTCTTGGGAAGAAGCTGTTCTGTAGTCGATTAGTTGTGGTCTTATGCTTCTGTATTGTTTCCCAGATGGCAGTGGTACAAACAATTTGTGTCCTGGGTGGGTGGGKTCAGCAGCAATACGACTGATATAGAGGTAGACTAAAAGAAGAACCCACTCAGTTATCACACAAACAATTTATTCATTTATCTTTTATTTATCCAGGTAAATCCCATTCAGATCACAGATGTCTTTGAAAGGGAGGCCTGGGCCTGAAGGCAACCTAACATGCATGTTTTTAGACTGTGGGAAGAAACCAGAGTGTTTGGAGAAATCCCACACATGCACAGGGAGAACAGGAAAACTCCACACAAACCAGGGATTGAACCCAAGACCTTCTTGCTGTGAAGCATCAGTGCYAACCACTGAGCTACTGGCAGTGTCTCACAATAATCTGTCAGATAGTGTGTAGAGATCATCATGGGAGTACATAACGTGACATAACTTTAAAATTTCAGCCAACAAGACCTTAACAAAACTCAGAATATTCTTTAAAGACACAATTTAATACAAACTCATTMTTTTCAAACCATTTGGAATGAACTTCAACTAAACATGAGAAGTTAACCTATCATTCTTTGTATCATCTCTACCGCAACAATACAATGACAATATGGTGCTCTGTGGTATTTATTGCATACAGTAAAGAAATGCTATTAGCATTTAAAGTAACAGAGTATTTGGTGTTCCTCCCATCTTCCAGCTGTGTCTCGGTGGGCTATTAAAACAGTTGAATGTTTACCGAGACCATTCAACACTAAGGTGAATACTTTTGCAACTCACTGTTTGTACGTTTAAACTTTAAAAAGGGGACAAATGCCAAKAAGTTATTTTCCACAAGCAGATTTACGTCCTTAATGTTGACTRTTTGAGAGTCGGGGACGATTTGCATCCTCATTTTTTTGTGCCACTCATGGAGGTTTTGTGTTTCTGGAGTGCCAGCTCGCTCCAGCAATAACACCAAAAGTACCTCCTGCAGCTCACAGTAGACTAAACACTGAAGTACCTGTGAGACTTATAGCAATGTACCCACATTGTGTTTTGGTGGCCCTCCTTTGAACCGCTCTCTAACCTTATCCTTGAGGCAGTTGATTATGCATATTTCCTTTCAGTGTTTAAAGGTGGCAACTGTTTTGTTTCTCATAAGGGTAATGAAGATGAGTCCCATGTTTTACTTCAGAGTCTGTCACTAGAAGCAAATTATGCGCTGCAGTTGCCAGAGCGACGTTGTCCGGGCGGTCTGTAATAACGGGCCTCGGCAGGAAGGGCTGGAATATTCTGGGGGAAGCTCTTTCATAGTGGGATTTATAAGATGCTGGTTATTTCCCATTGGCAGACCTACAGCAAAGCCTCCCTGAAGAAAAATGTGGTGAGCTTTACTCGAGTCAGTCAGAAAATTGGAGGTTTATTATCCCTTTTTTTTCTTTTCTTTTTCGGAGACGATAGGATTTTTTTTCCTGAAGTGAAATTGAGGGGTTTTGTTTCTTGAGAATGTTTTGAGTTGAAAGTCATAAAAACATTAGTGAGTGGCACCGGAAAGGCCCCATTTTTAAAACTCACAAGACATTTATTGTTTTTTTTGTTGTTGTTGTTTCTTTTTTTTTTTGTTTGTTTGTTTAGAGTTTGAGTGGAACTTCAGCCAGGACTTATCCGCCATCTTGGTGAAACGGGAGGAATCCGATGCGGGCCAGAGTTTAGAGCCTCAACCACTGGGTAGCCCAACTCTCGTATTAAGCCCCGCCCCTCCTCACAGAGGATCGCCATGGAAACACGTGGTTAGCATCCATCAGGCCTTTTATTTCTGTATTTCCTTTTACCTGAGGCTAAACCTGATAAATGATTTTGCTGTTCTGTTGGCAGAGGATTTATATGTTTGTTGTTTTTGTAGGAGCATCATCAGGATGACGTGAAGCCTGTTGCTATAAAGGATGAACCTGGAGAGATGGGGCAGTACCTCAGCCTTCCCAGCGGTACACAACATAAACACACACAGTGCAGAAACATCACATCTCATTATAGTTCCTCTTTAGCTTTGCCGTTTAGTCTCATCTAGAAAACATTATTAGCCATAGCATTTTAATCTTTACGAGATCTGATGTCTTCAGATCGTTCTGACAGCTTTCCACTGTGCCTATTTGCCGTCATTCATTCACTTTCTTTTAAAATTTAAAGCTAATTATCTCCTGTGAGTCACCGTCTTTAAGCAGAAGCGCTCATTCAACCCTTTTGCTTCCCTTTTTAGACGATGCCCTCCAGCTCCCGCCTACCCCTCCCAGCAGTAACCATGGCGACAGTGACGGCTCACTCCCACCCTCCTCCCCACACCTCCCCCTGCTGCCGTCTTCCCCGCAACCACAACAGAGGTCGGGAGGTCGTGCCTCCTCCTCCTCCTCGTCGTCAGCCATCTCTTCATCCCCTCTCCTCACTGCGCCACATGTGAGATTAAACACATCCGTCTTCTTCGCTCTCCTCCATCCATCACTGATTTCTGCTAGAACTATTGTTTTGTTTATGCTACTAATCATAAATAATTGGAATCTTCGCAGCCACTTTGGGATGCTGGCAACCCTGTAGGTTTCTGTCAGAATGAGTTCCGCTCTATGAAAGTCAGAGAACTTTGCGTCAGCTTAGTTCAACAGATCTCTGAAATGAAGCGTTTGTTCTCAGAGGAACATTTTGATCTGATAATGAGACATCTGAACCACCGAACCGATGCTAATTCACAGTTTTGTTCCCTTTCCAGGTTGTGACAGAATCCTGGATTGCATTTAGTAAACTCTTAACAGCAGTGCAGTGTACAGGATGAGTGAAAATTGGGAATTTGAATGTAAACACGTGGCCAAACGTCTGTGATGGCTTTTCTTATGAAATCAGCTTGTTTTTTCTAAACAGGCTGACGTGGAAAAGACGGGTTTAATAATTAGGAATTAATTTGTTTCTGTTCTTCAGAAACTGCAGGGTTCAGGGCCCCTCATGCTGACAGAAGAAGAGAAGAGGACCCTGGTTGCAGAGGGTTACCCTGTACCTAACAAACTCCCCCTCACTAAGACCGAGGAGAAGGCGCTGAAGAGAGTTCGAAGAAAGATTAAGAACAAGGTAAGGGATACAGGAATGAGAAATACATATCCTCTGATGTTYGATGCTCATGAAGTGTGTTCAGGTTGATTTACAGTATATTTTGCAAGACAAAAAAGCTGTTTGTGTTATGGATTTATTAACAGAAGATAAACAGGAAAAYGTCTCATTTCACAACACAAGTCAGCAGATTTGATCTTATTTAGCTCAATGTGATCTGAGCAGAACATAATGCAACAGTTTAAAATTAAAATAATCTTATAAAGTC